GGCCCAGGCAGGGTCACCACCACGGGCGAGGGCTGGATGAACACGGTGGAGTCCTGGCACTGCCTGACACAGGGCTCATTGCAGCTGCTGCCCAGCGGGGTGGGCCCACAGGGCTGGCAGGGCTGGCACCGGGGGTAGCAGGACATGGCTGGGGGCTGCAGATGCACCTGGGAGAGAGGGAACAGAGGAGCAGAACGTGAGGGGAGTTTGAAGAGCAGCCTCACCACACCAGGAGGGAGATCCTTTCTCTCAGCCCCTATGAGCACCACCAAGAAGGCCAAAGCCAGGGATGACCCCTCTCACAACCTACAGCTCAGGAGACACCTCAGTCTATATCCAGCCTTTCTCCACGACACATCTGCCCTCTCCCATGGTAAGCAGCCTCAAGACACAACAGGGAACAAGGACAGAGATATCTGATCAAAAATACCAAGAATTACAAGGTGGAAGAGAAAAGGAAGGAGGAAAAGCACAAGGAGAACCCAAAGGAAGACAAGAAAGGGCTCAACACTCACCTTGTACCCAACAAGATGGAGCTGAAGGAGTGGATGGGAGAGTGAGGAGAAGGTGCTGCTTTTATACTGCTCCTGCACCGCCCCAGGCCCACAGGCACTGCACAGGGGCACTAATTTTCCTACACACTCATCTCCAAAGCACACTGTCCTCCCAAATGCCCCAGGCTGTGCTTTGGTTTCTGTCAACGCTGCCATTTCATTTCCCCATTGCTGACATGACCATTAGGCCATAGAGCATCTTTTGAAGTGTTGAGATGAGAAGCCTGAGGCTTTCCCCAGCACCATCACGTCAGTACAGGCAGAAGATGGGCCCCCATGTGCTCCAGAGGGCTGCGGCTGTGGGCAAAAAAGTGGGGAGTGTTTTTACAAACCCCTGTGAGGAAACATGGTCATGTCTTCCCACCAATGCCATCCTCTCATGAGTACCTGAAGACTTCCCTTAGTGTGGGTGTGCTGCCTCCCTCTCCCTCCCTGCTGCCTCCCTGCTCAGGCCACAGCTCACTGGGCATTGTCTCTCTGGGCAGCTTTGAGCTTTGGTGCATTGCTGGTTTCAAATGGCTTTGCCAAGGAAATCTTCTCCTTCAGGGAAGACATCTCCTGGTTTATTTGACAGAGTTTGTCTCCTCTCACTACCATCTCTGGGGGAGCCCAGGCCTGTGCTCTCCACAGGCTTGTGGAAGGAGAGAACTGTCCTATCAAAAACCCTTTGATCATCCAATAAATCCTGTGGGCTCAGGTTCCTCTGCTCTCAGCATCTTAGAGATATGTTGGCTGCTGGAACATCACTCTCCCCTTCTCCTCACCCCATGATGCATTTTGGCTGCACCCTGACCTGGGGAGCACACAAAATCCTCCCCAATTTTTCAAAACTCAGTGCTGAGAACACTACTGTGCTGCCAAGCAGGTCAGGCTGAGGGCAATGGCCTTTGGGGTTGCCTGCTAGGGTGTGGGGATAGACCAGTACTTGAAGATGGTCTTCCTGGAAAAGAAGTGGAGTTACCCAAAGGATTGAGGCCTGGCAGGATCCTGAGGCCTGGCAGGATCCTGAGGCCTGGCAGGACCCTGAGGCCTAGCAGGATCCTGCAGTGCCACATCCCTGGGGATGCTCAGGGAGGGGATGCATTCAGAAAAGCCCTGGCTACAAAACCAGCTCTCAAAATACACCAAGGACTGATGCACTTCCCTGCCCCGCAGACATGGAGGCAGCTGGGGTGTGCCCCAGAGGGCAAGAGAATGCCTTCAGTAGGCAAATTTCCAGGGAGAGACTCTCCCTACCAGTGACAAGTCATGCTCTAATTGTGGGTTGGCTGTGTCAGCCTTTTGGTGCAAGGCCAAGGCAGGAGGGTGTGATGTCTGCAGGGCTGTCCAAGGCAGGGCTGAGTTCC